TCAGGCAGGTGGTGCTACCATATAAGAGAAGTGGACATCTTCAAATTGTCACTCTGTCGTCGTCTATTGCGCCAAACGATGCCGTGATATTGGGGACGATGTGAGTCGGGCAACCCATCGCAGTCTACTGGCTGCGTAGTGTCCGCCTAACAGTCAGGATCAGCGACACTGCAAAAGGCGGTGTAGTGTCAATACTGGACCGGAAATGCTCTCAGGGCTGTGCTTTCTTTGTACCAGAAGCGTCTAGCGCACACCAAAACACAAGCCTCACCGTGTGCTTGACTCGATTAACCACCAAATCCAATCTCATATCCAGTCTTCTTGGCTTAGCCATTAAAATGAAGCTCAGTGGGAGTGGGATTGATGTTGCGCTATATCCCAGTAGGCGCGCACGCAGTTAGTAAAGACCTCAGAAGGAGAGGGCTCTTATCTGTCTTGATTTCTTGTTAGGCGAACCTTCAAATACAAACCGCGGACACGCATCTTTGCCGCCACCGACGACGGTGTGCAGGCTGCCAAAACCGCCTTCAGTAAGAAGACGCCGTTGGGAGGCCTGAACTTCCTCATCGGCAAAGGTCCTTTCGCCAACGACCAGACCGCACGCGACATTGCGTCCACGGTGAAGAAACTCGGCGGCGCCATCATCCTTGAGGTGAGTCTTTGTTAATAAATCGTAGATGTGCTAACTCATTAAATTTTGGCCAAAATTCTGAAATGTGCCTTTTCGATTTGAAAAGATTACTTGAGTAGGGTTGTAAAACTACTCACTTTGCAACTTAATCCCAAGGTAATTCAGTTACTTCAGAATGTCAGTTTTTGCACAAACCTCTTTCCTGCCACCTGCAAAAAACGACAATTTGGGTAATACTATTTTTTCTCATTGATTTTCGATGCCCTTATAAATTCAAATATATTTCTATGAAACATATTTGGATTTATAAGGGCATTGGAAACCAATGAGAAGAATCATGCTATCTAAGTTGTCAATTTTTACAGGGTGTAGTTTTTACAGGCCACCGGAAAAAAGTTCGTTCAAAAGCTGGTATCCTGGAGTACAATAGGTGTGCTAACTCATGAAATGTCAACCGAAATTCCGAAATGCGTTTTTGTTTCGAAAATATTGATTAAGTAGGATTGTAAAACTAGTCAGCCTGCAACATAATCCCATAATATTTCAGTTACATCAGGATGCCGGCTTTCGGAAGAACTTCCTTCCGACTGCATGTAAAAACTACACTCTGTAAAAAATGACTACTAAAGTGGCATGAATTTTTCTCATTGATTTTCGATGCCCCTAAAAATTCATTTATATTTCATGGAAAACACGCATAAAAATATATTGACTAAAGCACGAAAAATTGAGGTGGTCATTTTCCGACTTATTATCTGTTGTCTTTCAGCCATACTCCAACTCCAGGTCCGGGATTTGAACGGCAACTCTTTGGACATTCGGCATTAAGCTCAGTGCCCTGCAATTAAGGCTCGGAGCCGCTGTCCCGTCGGTTATGTTCAGTAATATTATGTAGTCTGCGAGGGTCGTTCACTGGTCTAGATTGTTGTAGACTGAGTTACAAGGGGCGATCATGTTCTGTATTTCAACCAGGTCAATGAACAACCCTCTCGCGCGTGATTGGTGGACACACCGCTTCCAGAGGCGGACCACACCTTTTTGTTGTTAGACCCAGGGCTGCAAGCAGACCTCTTCTCTACTAGCCTCTGTATGCAGTTTATCAAGTTGCGCCGAACTCCAGATCCGGACAACCCGGGATTCGGACCTTAACTCTTTGCACATTCGGAATTAAGTCCAGCAGCGCCCTGCAATGAAGGCACGGACCCGCTGTCCCTTCGGTTGTGATCAATAATATTAAGGAGCCTGTAAGGGTCGTCCACTGGTCTACAGGGCTGTAGACGGAGTTAAAATGGGCGGGCATGTTCTGTATTTCAGCTAAATCAGCGAACAACTCTCTCACGTTACTCATGGTAATGCCACTCGCGTGATTGGTGGACACACCGATTCCAGAGGCGGACCACACCTTTTTGCTTTTAGACCCAGGGCTACAAACAGACATCTTCTTTACCAGCCTGTCTATGCAGTTTCTCAATTTGCGCCGAAAGGTGCTCTTTTCCGTCTACCATGGCATCTCGATTTACTTTTGTTTGCTGCCCCTTACCTCATCATAAGCCCTCCAATGGAGCGATCCTCATCACCAGCGAGGAGGAGATGAAGAGTCCTGTTGAGGCCAGGCGTAAATTCATCGAGAGGGCCAGTTACGCACACATGCGTCCGATCTGTGTCCGCAGTCTCGATCTCCTTCGTAAAGCCAAGTCCCAGGAGGAGGTGGAAAGGCTCATCAACGAGAACCTGCTTTCCGACTGGCGATCCGGCGGCAATACGCGCTCGGTAAGACTCCTTTCATCTTCTATCCCTTTCTCTTCTAATGCAAGACTCTGTCCGAATTTTGCGATTTGTCCCGAATCGACAACTGGGCACTGTACCGCCCGCCATTGATCCGCACTTTCACACCCACAGAGGAGGGTCTAAAATCCATGATATCCTTCTTATCAGCGGTCTTCGCCTCGTTCGTGTCCAGCGGGCTGTGTTAAATCCCACGGCGTGAGTTAACTGAACTCCACGGAGCCTGCCTTTGTCATGCGTTAGGCGGCGAGACAGCGGTAGGCTGTGTGACTCCACTCCGCAACCAACAACCCCACGCTCGTTCAGGCCTCGCGCTTACCGTGGCCAAAGGTTGTATTGGTCGTACGAGTCGGCGCCTTTCCAAAAGAATACGAGAGCACCTTCTTGCATGACTGGCAAAAGGTGAAACTAGGAGAATAGACAGCACCATCCGTGCGCATGTAGTGGATTCAGGGTATCGTGTGGACCCTGCAGAAGTATTTCGTGCGATTTATAAGGTTCCCTCGAGATACCCTAAGCTACTGGGCCAGCAGCTGTTAGCAACAGCAGAAGCGGCCGCCATAAGATTACGAAAACCGACCCTATGCGCCCAAAAGAACCTTGTTCAGGCTCCGCGCTTACCGTGGTCAAAGGTTGACTAACCACATACAACTTTCTGCGCCCTTCCGCTCTTGCCTAGCCTGTAATTTAACACCTAAATTTTATCGATTTTTTTTCACTGTGTACCCCGCCCTATGTAACTGTATTGGCCTGATGAGAAGTTATCGAAAACAACGTTCACTCGCCACCTCGTCTTCCGAATATAGCTATGGGGATTTTCACAACTCTAATACGGGAATAGTTGTAATAGCGACTCCGTGTCACGGCAGCCACTGCACCCAATCCCCACCATGAGTCCAAATGACTTGGGCAGGCGCACTGGCATAGTGAGGAGGAAGTAGAGATTGAAGTCGGTCCAGTTTCTAGTTTATCATTTTCATAACTATAAACAACCAAACGCGCTTTGAAACTACCATGGTGGACAAGAAGTTTTAGCCTGGAGGGTTACCAAATGACGAAATAACTCAGGCTGTGCGACGGCTCCTTCTGAACGTCGCAGCCTTTATGACTGCCCTCATTGGCATACGATCTAAAAACAACCCATGGTATGCATGTTTGGAACGCGTGAACGGGCTGTTGGCCACTATACGCAGGCCGGTCCGCGGTCGCCCCTTGTCACTACAAACATTTTCATGCGCATTCTACTACTTAGTCCTCATCACTCGCGGTGGACGAACTATCGCTCCTCGTCGAGACTAAAATGTTCCGCATTTCGCCGGCTGCTGGAGGTTAGGACTACACCGACGTGGCCAGTGGAGGTTGAAACTGCAACCTGATCTGGTTTCTTTGCACGTTCTCATCATCCAGCCACATTTCTGACTGGAAACGCCTGCCTGCGGGTTTGCTGCAGAGCGGCGGAGGGCCTGAGTCATGTTGTTGAAACTGGGACGCAGGATTTTATCCTCTGCGCGCCTGTACGATGTCATACCGATGATTTGTCCTCAGTGGACTCCTGTGTAGTCACAGTTCTGGTTTATAGCAAATATCTGCTCCCTCCCCCCCAGTCCTGTTTTACTCTCATCCAGCTTATTTTCCGCATCCGTTTTAGGATGGATTGGGTAAGTTTGCAGCTTCTTGTCGTTGGGCGTCCCCCCCTCCCTTCGCCAAAAAAGCATGCAGCCCGGCAAACCTGGCCTTCTGATTGGTGTCTTCTTCATGCTGCTGTCTTGCTATTGCTGTCATTACTTCATCTGTGAATCCGCCTTTTATCACTTTTCCAAAATCGCCTTTCTCCATTTTCTGCCACCTTCATTGTACAATTAATAATACTAACAGTAGTGCAGATTCGACTGCTGTTACTACTACTACTACTACTACTACTACTACTACTACTACTACTACTACTACTACTGCTACTACTACTACTACTACTACTACTACCACTACTACTACTACTACTACTATCACTACTACTACTACTACTACTACTACTACTACTACTACTACTACTAATAATAATAATAATAATAATAATCTGCAACCACCGTCACCACCGCTACTACTGTTGTTGTTGCCGCTGCTGCTGCTACGACCGCTACCGAAAGTTTGTGCAAGGGCTTCTGTTTCAAGGCAGAAAAAGGGACCTACTCAGCACCTTCTTTTTGCCTTAAGGCCAATTGGATGCGCCTTTCAACCATAGCGACACAGCAGCGTTGTGTCTTAAAAGTCTGTCAACTGATAGGGCATCTCAGTCTTCATTTGGACTAGAGGTTAGACTGCAATACTTTTTCCCCTCACTATTGCCTCCACGGCAACAATGATTTAAGATCTGGGGTCTTTGATGTTTGTTTCATATGGATTGGGGGCAGCGCGTGTACGCGGCACGTGTGGACGATGACCTTATGCAGAGTCCTATCCCCAGTATTCCTGACCCTGTCTTGTCCTTAAAAAACGGCAAGTTTGTGAAGATGGTGCAGTCAAAATTTCTGAAGGCCACTTCACTATAGTCCAGATAATAGGCAGGTCATGGCGGGCTGCTCTAGAAATGGTAATCCTTATCGAATCTGACGGACGAGCTTACCTTTCCATCCCGAAGGTAGACGTTTTGAGTACACAAAATTACACAGGTGGGTTTTCAATTAGTGTAGGGACGGTGGTGGTTGTGGTTGTCGTCGTCGTCGTGGTGACGGTATTGGTGGTGATGGCGATGATACCGTCGGTCACCGTTACTGTCACCCATTCCCCGCTTTTGTCCTGCCGTTCAGATACCTTCTATGCTAGCCCCAAAGCTCCGTCTATGCGTATTTGGGCTTTTTACATCCTAACAGCCGTGGTGCCGGCAAATTCCGCTTCCGGAAAAGCCTCGCAACATAGATCGCTCGATCAGGAGATGCGTGAGGCGGTCGTCAAAATGCGTATCAAGGGCGGTGCTGTGGTGGATCCAGACTCCGGCATGGAGGACATCGCCAGTGTGTTGAAGGACAGCAAGGGTCGTCCTCTCTCTGCCATCCTCGGAATGGTGGACCTTGTTAAGGGCGTCAATTCCTACTACAGGTTAGTTCGGATGTTCAGCCAAATTGCATGTTTTGCCTGGTGCATTCTATCTAAGCCCCGCTTCCTTCGTACAGGCTGCAGGTCCTCGTCTCAGACAAGGAGCCCAAACGGTACTGGGTTTTCCGCGCTTGGGGCCGCACCGGCACCACCATTGGTGGCAACAAGATCGAGTCTTTTGCCAATGCGCATTCGGCCACCGAACACTTTGAGGACCTGTACCGTGAGAAGACGGGCAACTACTGGGGCACCAGAAAGGAAGACTTTGAAAAGATACCCTTCAAGTTCTATCCTCTGGAGATGGACTACGGCGAGGTCTGTTACCTCCATTTTACTTCCTTATTTACTTGAAGTAGGAAATTGAATGTGATCCTTGGGTTGTGACAGGACCAGTGAACACACCGCTCATATGTCCCGTCTGACGTTTGTTTGTCGCAGTCTGTGAATGGCACACCCTCCCCCCTCACTCTTATGCATACTTCGGTCTTTTTTTATCTAGGAATCAACGAAGACGAAGGGAGAGGAGATTCATCATATTCCCTCGAAACTGGAAGTCCGGATTCAGGCTCTAATGCGCTTCCTCTTCGATGAAGTCTCCATGCAGAATGCTCTCCGCGAGTTCGAGGTGTGTGCACTTTATTTGCCTTTCACTAGTTGCTTCTGTTTAGTATCTGCCTGGAGCCGGTATTACACCTTCACGATATATATTTTATACTACTCGTAGTACTAATTGTTTGTAGAATGGACATTACATGGTTATTCCACAGTAGTTGATTGTCTTCGACTCGAATTTTTATTGAAATTTCAGGTCTGACCCTAAACAGTCATGTCCCAGTGACCTAACTCCATGTTCTGTACTGAATGATGTCTGAAATTATTCATTTTCTTATTCCCTGGAGTTTATATACCAGAAACCGCATAGGGAACGCTGCGGTAGCCATCGAGGAGCCGAGCCCCCCGCAGCTGCGTCACGCAGCCGCAAAATATCGACGAAACACGTGTCTGGACTTTTTTTAGTGCCTGTGTTGGCAGTACGGTATAATACGTTTGCCATGTACATATCTATACATATTGAAAGGTAGGCACCCCAAGCGATATAAGTTGCAAAGAGATGGGTTCTGTGGGACAAGACGGTTTACTGCGTAAATTTTCGACGCCGGTTCCCCAGGTCGTCGTCAGACGCAAGCGGAAAGCACTCTTGACGTTAGCTGTTTCTCGCTTTCACATTTGCTTTCCGCTTGCGTATGACGACGACCTGGGGAACCAGCGTCGAAAATTTACGCAATAAACCCTCTTGTCCCACAGAACCCATCTCTTTTCAACATATATATATATATACATGTGTAATAGTAGAGGGACCTTACCGATCGTGTTAAAAAGACAAAGGAGACGTCGCCAAATCTCTGGTTTGCGCAATCCAGACTTGGAGCCCAGAGTCTTTGGTCGTTAAAATAAACTTTCAACCGTTAAGCGACAGCCGTATCCTCACCCCTGTATGACTGTCTGGTCCACTCTAGATTGAGCTCCACAACTCAACGAGACGAGCCCCCTCCGTGTTGTAAGTGTATTAATAGGTGATCCACCCATGCGTATATATTGCAGTATTAGCCATTGATGATAAAGGCACTCTACGGGAGCATTTACTGTTTTGATGGACTGCACCAGAGAACGTAGCGGACAGTCAATTTACAAGCTTTAGTACCAACTAAAACGATATTTTCGTTTCAAACGGGGCGCCACTTCGCAAACGGACTCACTATCTGGACTAACGATTGGCTCTCACTTATTCGCACCGCGCTTGTTCCCAGTGCCCACCTACTTCTTGCTGGATGTAGAATGAATAACATCACCCGGCGTTTGAATTTACTCTTTTCCGACGTCTAAGGGATCGGGTGGGTGGGGGAGGAGAAAGTGCGGTAGATGCTGCGCAAGTCGCCGTCCCTGCTCCCTGCACGTTGCTGGGCAACAGCATCGCTCGCGGCGGTCAAACTGTCATGTTCTAAGTAACTTGGGGTCTCCGTCTTTGAGTCCGAAGACCTCATATTATGGAAACATTTTTCTTACACTGCCGTTCCCACTCATGTTTTTTAACCAATGCACTAATTTCCTTCGATTCAGAATGCTAACTTGATATTTCGTCTTACTCCATCCTGCTCCTCCTTCCTCATCGCTACAGATCGACATTCGTAAAATGCCCCTGGGAAAGTTGTCTAAAAACCAGATCCAGGAGGCCTACGGCATTTTGGGCGAATTGAGCAAATTACTCAGCACAAAGCCACCCAAGTCGGAAGCGGCCATTGCATCCAGACACACTGCCCTCATCAGCAACTCCACTCAGTTCTTCACCCTCATACCGCACGACTTTGGTCTTAAGGCCCCGCCCATACTTGACAGTCTGGACGTTATCAAGACCAAGTCTCGCATGCTTGAGGATCTCCTGGAGATGGAGGTGGCCTATAGCCTCATGAAGACGGATGACAGCCATGTGAATCCGCTGGATGATCATTATGCCAAACTACACAATCGCATCGAGGTGTGTTGCCTTTAGTTGGAAACAAAAAGCCCTACTAGTTATTTTTAAGTAGACACGAATGTATACTAATTTGTTTTTGCTCGTATTCAGCCGCTTGACCACGAGTCCAAGGAGTTTTTGCGCATAGTGGAGTACATGCAGAAGACACACGCCAGCACACACTCTGCATATACCCTCGAAGTGGTCGACATCTTCAGCGTCGAACGCGAGGGTGAGGCGGAACGCTATCAGGCCTTCAAGGATTTGTCCAATAAGATGCTTCTCTGGCACGGTTCACGACGCACCAACTGGGCAGGGATCCTGTACGTTCCTCATGTCTTTGTTCTCCCATTAATTCCAAAGACACTTGTGAGGAGTCTCTGGTGTCCTTTTAAAATACATTTTTTTCAAGTCTGTGTTGCTTGGGATCAAACCCTCAGGGTCTTGAGACCAGCGGCGCCGGATCGCTTTCACGCTTTTACAGTTTTCCGCCGATGTGTGGACAGTCTTTCCATTTTAAGATTCCACCCTCTAAGCATGAAGAGTCCACAAAGGTTTTTACCTCAACGTATGCCCTAGGGTTTTCAAAGCGGTTTCTGTTTGGAATTGTGCTGAATGCACGCCCCCTCGACAAATCTAATTACCTATACACTTCATTCGTCTCACCGTCTGATGGCCGGTGGAAACCTGCCCAAAGGCTGTCACAAGCAGCGATTTAACTACGACCCCGAATGCCTTTTTGCGGCTTAAGGACCCGCGTTAATATCCCCATTATCCGTTAAGGTTGTGTGATGCAGTTACAGACATTTCACTAGACAATTTTAAGAGCTCAGATACTTTTTTGCGTTCCTTATTGTACAAGTTTTTTGGCAAGGGTCAATTCCGCTGTGGGCATTGAAAGTAAAGTAAGCTGAAAATCGTTAGTGAGGAAAGTAGCCGAGGCTTAAACGGGAAATCTGCCGCGAGATTGAAGGAAGCCTAGAATTCCCGCCAAAGACCTGGCTGACAGGAAACGCGGAGTAACAATACCCAAAACCCAACGGTAAAACTAACCATAACATCAAAAGTAAACCTAATCCTTAACGTAATTATAAACCTAAAGCCAACCCTAAACAGTAAACAAACCCTAGCCCTAAGCCTAATCTTAGCCTTAAAATTAACCATAACCCCAACCTTACCCGTAGCCCTAACCCTAACTCCAACCTTAACACTGAGCGTAAACCTAAACCGCAATCCGAACCCTAACTCTAACCGGAACCCTTAAACTTAGCACAAACCCTAACCCTAAACTCAATTATCAGTCTGACACTAACCCAAACTCTAAAACTAACTCTACTTATAAACCTAAACATCAGGTTGCTATTTTACGTTTTAGCTTTGGCTATTTTCCCACTAACGATTTCAGCATCCTCCTTAGGCTTACTTTACTTGCAATGCCCACATTGCACTTGAACTTGAGACCAAGACAGCGTGACCCCGACCCCTACCCGTTTTCTGCCTAACAGACGACGTAAGACGTGGTGCTCTTGTCTGACGATCTATGCCCATTGCACGACCGAGTCTGAGTCGATTCTGTTTTTTCAGAGCGTTTGGCCTAAAGATTCGTTGATCTGTTAAAAGCCAAACCCTGGACGCGCCAGCACTTGGGGTTCTGGTGTGGGGCTGGCTGATGAATGAGCCAGAAGCGTCCGCTCCGGTCTCTTATCTCTTCCGGTAGCGTTTCTAATTTTTTTCGTGTCCTCAACAGACAGGAAAGATTTCAGTCAGCGCCAGTTGTTCTCGGGTTATTGCATACGGTGAAGATTATCGTAGATGCGTTCACCGATCAGGTTACCGGGCAAGCACGCCCAGTTACGCCTTGGGCTTGATGCACAGCTGCATAGCGACCGGTATTCAATGCAGAGAGGGAGTTAATGTGAAGGCGAAATTTCGAGTTCTAGATGTATGCACAAGGGAAGAAGAAGAAGAGGGTTCGAGCATCGGGACATTTTGTTTATTGTCCTGAGCTTTCGAAGTTGATGTTTCTGACTACGATCGACAGGACAGCGAGCCCCTAACTCAGTGCTAGGGCGCTGGACTACTTGGCGTTCAGTGAGCAAAGAACTCCGGTTCGACTCCGAGGTTATCAAGACCTTGGATTGTGTATGACAGCCAATCAACCGGAAACGGCCATCTCGACCTCCTTTGTCTTTATTAGTACTGGTTTTTTGCTGTGAGGACTTTGGGCAGCCGGGGGTTCAGCGGTGACTTTTGCAGAAGTCGCCCAGACTTGCGCAGAACCTTCCACACCGTCTTTGAAACCTGTTGTTTTGAAAACGTAAGACTGGAGATTGGCGGGTCCTGCAGGAGTGCTCCCCCATACACGTCCCGCAACACAGCTGGTTCCTTTTTGCGGTCTAAACCAGGTTACACAAGAATGCCCCGGCGTTAAGAGAGGGCACTCGCTAACTGCCTCAACTCGAAACGGCATAGGAATCTGGCCTCCGGGCCCAACCCAAAATGAGAGCTGAGTGTCAGGTAGCGTCAGAGTGCGAAAACTACCGTAAGCATCCAGCCTCCGGGTGCGGTTGCCAATCCTCCAAAGCGCCCACGCTCCATTGTGTTCTTATGGTAGTACAAAGCCGAGATTACTGGCTTAGTGACTTAAAAGAAAACCGCACAGCCCACGGTCTGCTTCCTAACCCCGCCCCTACGAGGATTCGTTGGGACATGAGGTTTCGAATCTCACGCAAATGATTAACATCAAAGCCAAGTTAAGATGCCGTTGACTGGCAACCCTTTAGAGTACAAGTGACAGCGTGTGCCAGATTTAGCCGCTTCAGACTTGTCACTGCGAGGATTGTGAGAATTCGCCACTAGGTTGGATTCCTCTTCACTGTGTAACCCACATTCTTCCTGCATGCACTAGTCGATTGTCTGAGCCGCCCAAGTAACCGGTGGTTGGGATGACTAACGTTGTGTAAAGACCTTCGTCGACGGTGTGCCGCCCTCCTTTACGCTCAGGGACACGCACAGACTCGATAAAACCTCATGAAGGCGTTTGATGGGCCAGTGTGACCCTCGACACACACGCAGCATAGTCCGTTTGAGAGTGTGTTTATGTGTGCCTGTATTATGTAATGCATGGATCTATTAGGCCACATGGGCGGTAGAAAACCACCGGCTGTTTCACGCCATCACTCCCCCTCCTCACTGGCATCTCACCGCACATCCACATCACCCAACTGCCACCTCCCGCGCAAATGGGAAGTGCGCGTCTCGTTCCCTTCACCATGTGGTTCCCCTGCTGAATGTATGATCGCAGTCTGTAAAGAAGACAGTGCGTCGAGCACCATGGCTCGGAAGGCAGCCGACTGACGCCCCAACTCAGTCCACGCAGTCCGCCCAGTTGTGCGTTTGTGTTGTGTGTAGTGGTGGACATCTCGGTCCCCATGCGGCTTCGGCTGCACGGGTGACTTGGGTCCGAGACTATCCCGACACGTCAAGCGTCGTGGATAGGAAGGTTGCTGATTGACGCCTGCTCTCGGTTCACGCAGTTCGTCGCGTTGTGTGTGTGTGTGTGTGTGTGTGTGTGTTGTGTGGAGTGGCGGACTGGTGGGCTTGGAACGGGCTGAAACAGCACCTTCCACGGCACTCTCACGCAAGTGAGAGACACGCCGTTCAACCCCCGTTGTGTGAAATCCTGGTGTTTGTGTGTGTATGGGGGGCCAGGTCGTGCCGTGGCGCGCGCAGTCATGGTCAGTCGACCATGACAGCCACCGCGCCCATTTTCCACTCCAGTCTGCTGACCGGCTCGGAGAGCGACTGGGGTGTGGGATGGGAAGGGAGAGTGAGGTCGACGACTCAGCGCACTTTCTCCTCACTATAAACAATCTGACGCGCTTGAAGCTATCACGGTGCGCTAAAAGCCGTGGCTTAGGAAGGTTGTCAACTGACGGGTAACTTGGACCTCCTCCTTGACCGGAGGCGGTCTGAGAGTCAGGCTGCAATGGCTCCTTTTTAATGTGGCCTTTATGGCACTCCCATCACAGTGTGGGATCCGAGCCAGGCGTTGGCGGCACGCCCAGGTGCGGCTTCGGCCGTGCCAGCCTCCAAATCTCTCTTGTGTTGGTTGAAATCCTGGTTATTTGTTGTGTGGACCAGGGGGTGTGGTGGAACGCCAAGGTGAGGATCCGTCCGAGCCATCCACCTGCGGCCTCTCTCGGCTCCGGTCTTCTTGACTCTGTCTTGACACCGGGCTCGGGCAAGGGAGGAGGAGAGAGTGTAGGTAGATGCTACGCAAGTCTACCGGCACTATAAACCCCTGCGTAAGTCATCGTCTCTGCTCCCATTGCTGCTGCAACTGTGGGGCACACGGTGGACATCATCGAAACCGATGGTCGAACTGTCGGTGGACTACTGAGCTTAGAACCAGACTGTCACGGCCCCTTCTCAAGCGATCTGTGACACTCATGCATTTGAGGAGTGTTTTTGTCAGTGCTTTATGAGTAGTGCATCTATGTCAACGACTGTTTAGTTACCCAACTTTAAGAGTAAAGGCCCAGGCTAAATGCAGGATCACGTATCGCCCATCTAGATCAAAAGGTTCTAAAGCGTGTGCTGTCCCCGGTTCAGCAAACCATGACCCACGCAGCCGGGTATGCGTCGGCAGTTCTCTGGCACCTGGTTCCCTGCCGGTAGATGCGCTTGCGCTCCCGCCAGGTATACAACTGGTAGGCATGGCTGCTCAGTCATCACCCTCGTCCTCCAAACCCCTGTTGGGGTGTTGTCGCTGTTGTTGTTGGTGAAAAATCCTGGTCAAGTGTATGTTGTGAACCACGGGATGTGGAGTGGAACGCCAAGGCGCGGGCTCGACCGTGCCATCCGCCTGTACCCCCGCCCGCTTCCGGTCTTCTTAACTCTGTCTTGAAACCGGGTCCAGGTGGGGAGTGGGGGAAGGGGAGAGTGCGGTAGATGCAGCGCAAGTCTACCCTCTCTATAAACTAATTCACACGCAAGTCACCGTGCCTGTCGCACCTTGCTGTGGAGCACACGGTGGACGTCGTCGGAATCGACGGTCGAATTGTAATGTTTTAGGGGATGTCTGTGCCGTAGTGTTTACTGTGGGATTACAGTGCGGACACAGAAGGCGTGACTGGCAAGTTTTGGTAGGCCTTGAGACTCTGGTTCCCAGGTCACACTGGGACGCTTTCGCAAGTGTGAACCTACCAGACGCATATGTGATTCATGCAGCCACTATTCTAATGCGTGCATGTGTTCTTCTGCTGTGAAGCACTTTTTTCTGACTAACAGCTGGCTGGACTTTTCTTTCAAAATGATCTTGTCCACTTTGATTGGCGTCTTGCGTTCCTTTCCGCACAGGGCTCAGGGTCTTCGCATCGCCCCTCCCGAAGCGCCCGTTACTGGCTACATGTTCGGGAAGGGTATCTACTTCGCAGACATGTGCAGTAAGTCGGCCAACTACTGTTTCCCCAGCCACGAAACGCCCCAGGGCTGCCTGCTGCTCTGTGAGGTGGCGCTGGGCAATATGCACGAATGTTCCACCGCTGATGATTCTAAACTGAAGGGCGAATACAATAGTCGAAAAGGTATGGAGTGTTTTTTTAATACTAAATTTCGTCTACTGCGCTGCGCTCAGTAGTTATGTTTTAACTGCCGCATATTTTCTAATCGCTCCACAGGTGTTGGCGCGACCTGTCCTGATCCGGATACCTACTACACCGACGAGAACGGGGTGGTCTACCCCACTGGTCAGCCAAAGAGTACCGCGGTTTCCGGTCACCTCCTGTACAATGAGTTTATTGTCTACAATACGGCTCAAGTGAGGCAGAAGTACCTTGTCTGGGTCAACTTCAAGTTCAAGTAGAGCTTCGGTCTATGTCGTCATTGGACTTACCTTTCAGTCACCAGAATACATCCTCTTTTTTCATCTTAGAGTACTATTCCATCCATTTTTTATCCGGTAAAAGAATTGCATTTATTGTTCTGTGAGAGTCCTGTCAGATTTCGCGCTTTGGTTTCTGCAGTTCTCAGACTTTTGATATAAAGATTAAAACTTTCATTCTCCCATCTTCACTTGTTTTACTACCAGGCCACAAAGTTACTGAGTTCATTGAGTCGTTCTTCCACGTTTAGATCTTAATACAGCTGTGCCGAATTTATGAGGCCATCGTAGATGTCAAAGTTCATGTCTTCTGGCACGCACAGGGTCATCAGGCTATATCAGCGAGCGGCTCTCTTAATATTTTCTATTACAGTTGACATTTCAAGGCAAGACATTTACGAAGCACTGCCACGGACTCACAAATCGGCACAAATTAATTAACCGAAACTCCGAATCCATAATGAAAGATTGTATGCGAATTGAAAACATAAAGGAAATATTCAAAGCAACATCATATTTAGGAATAGCAATTGTTCTCAGAAATGTGGGAATTCCGAGCGGGCTCTTCCGTACGTGAAGAACGTCTCGGAAGCCGTCAGCCGTCTTCTCACTCCACTTGGAGTTGGGGTTGGACACAGGCCGGCAGCAACCATTAGGCACCAAGTCATGAGGCCAAAAGACCCGCTGCCACGGCGGGAAACGTCTGGAGTCGTTTACCGGATCTGGTGTAGTTGCGGACAAAGCAATTATGTCGGAGAAACTGGGAGATTACTCCGTCCGCGACTTGCCGAGCACGCAGCAGCAGTGAGGCGGGGAGACGCTAACTCTCAGGTGGCGGTACACTCGACCGGACCCGGCCATATTTTCAAATTTCAAGAGGCCGAAATCCTCGCAAGGGGTGACAACCGCGTGAGCCGCGAGCTGCTCGAGTCATGGTTCTCAGGCCCGCAATCCATCAACAAGCACAATGACCTCCCGGTACCCTATTCCGTACTGCGATTTTCCCTGGGCAGTAGAATCAGTCACGTGGGGAGGGCACGGGCGAGCAATTATCACGGCGACAGTGAGCCAGTTTGCCGAGCAATCATCACACCAGCATCCAGCACGGATGACGAGATCGCGGCCATTAACGACTCGGACTCGGACCGACAAGCCGCCACGGCACCAATTACTACCCCAGCGGTGATTGCGAGAACTGTTAATTGCAGTGCGCATACGGTCCCACGGCAGCCACGTGCTATAAATACTGCACTCCTGGTGCCACAATCACCTTTATCTGCGAATGTCTCTGGTGATGGATTCGAGTGAGAATCCGAAGCGTCAGGCAAATAAATTTCTTGTTTCAGTGATCGCATCTTCATCTTCTGAATTCCGAGAACGCCAAAAATCGCTGTAACTGAGCAAACTAAAGTTTTGAGTGTACAGAAAGCCTGCCCGTGGAACCAACTAAGCAAATAAGACGGCACAAGTAGGATAACTTTTGAAAGTGGTCCTCTGATGAGATTTGCGCTTAAGCAATTTGTTGAAATTAGCGTTGTCTCGAGTAAGGTGCTTAACCAACGGTCTACAGTTTGAGTTTAGATTCCGAGACGGTTTCACTCCGATTTGCTGCAGTTTTCTCGTTTTTACATTAGATACGGTTGACTAAGCCAAGCAGGTCAGTCAGTGACTAATAAATGGAATTGGCGGACGTAATTGCCAACATACCACCTTATGTATACTAGGAGAACTATCCTTCCGTCAGATTTCTTTGTATTTATTTCTGCTGGTGGAGTGCGTTGAGTTGGAGATCGTAAATACTTCATGATTTTCAGTGGTTTCGATGGGTCCCCCATAAAGGTAGATTCTGTACTGTGTTTTCCAAAATCTTAAAATCTCGAAAGCATTTACCAAGGTAATGAGTGCTTGGGCATTCTTTCTAGTGCCGATGGTCGAAGACTCACCTAGAAATGCGGTAACGTCGTCGAGAAAAGTGAACGTCCACGTCGAAAGTCCGCAATCGGTATGCTCTAGACCGATTCAAGAACTTTGTCTATTAAGTTGTCTTATTTAAAAACGCGTTAATTAGGCATTTTGTTAAAGGATGTCTGCGTACTTGACCTCTTTTCAACATAAAGTGTAGATAAGATTTGTAACGTTCTGTGGGCTTTTTCACTCCTCCGAAAAAAAATAGTGATAGTTTTTCAGCCGCAGACGAGAGAACCTACTTTTCTCTTAGTGGAGCCTTTTTGTTACGTTTGCTTGCTTCTATGCTCCGTTCCAAAATTATAAACGCACAAAAGGGTAGCTGTAAAAATACTGTGATATCGCGAAAGCTGCTGATCTTCTACCCGTTCCGTTTATGAATTACGCATAAATCGAAATTGGATCATTCAAAAAACATCTCATCATATGCCTAAAATTTGACATGGCTGCTTGGCGGGGGGCCTTTTCGCGGTAAGTCGCAAAGGACAGGCAGATATCGGAACGTGCAACCAAAGGACTGTCTGTAGGCGTTAAATCACACAGACTTGCAAATCTGTTTTTTTTAAATCGATAAAACATTCGGTTTTCCAAAAATAACCTGGTTACTCACACCCTGGTTCATGTGATTTATGTGGTGAAAAAAACATTTTTGAAGTGCAGCAAGTTCCGTTTGATAAAAATCTCGTGTTTAGATTACTCTCTCCTCATAGCAAAACACGCATGGATGTGCAAACTTTGTATAGGATCGCCATTAGCCTAGGGGTTCGTCGGAATACCATATGCGACCGTAAATTCCTTAGTTTGAGTGATCCGAACTACAGCCCGAACTAGATCAAGAACAATTAACCGGAGAAACAAATGTATTCTACATAAAAGACTCAAACTTCATGCTAGAAAGGAACTATTCAATATGAGAGCCACTGATATTCAATGACCTCTTCGATTCTCGGTCTGAACTTGGCGCCTATGTTCCTGATATAATTTGGTAACATCTCCCATTCTCTAGCAATGAAGACCTTCAGGGCCCCAATACTGTTTTGAGGCTTGTTGTAGGCCTTCTCTCCGATATACGTCCAAATGCTGTAGTCGATGGGATTTAAGTCTGAGGAGGATGGTGGCCATATATCCATAAACTAGAAATAAGGAATGTGGTCTCCCAGCCACTTCTGTCTCTTCCATGACGCATGCGGAGGTACATCGTCTTGCTGGAAGACCACAATGTCGTCTGGAGTGTAGTTGGAATCTATCCACGATCCGACATGCTTCTGAAGGACATCCAGGTACACGTCTGTGTTCACTTTGACCCCAGGTTTGATGAGCACAGGGAGCATGACTTTGCCCTCCGAGGCAATCAGGCCAAAGACCACCACAGATTCAGGATGTTTGGTCTGATACTTGTACATAACACCTTTCAGGTACCTTGTTGATCTTCAGGGGGCTTAGGTAACGATCTGTTCAACTTTTGAACACCGAATCGACCGTGAAGAGTTTTTGTCAGAGTAGGGCACCGTGTGTGGTCCTTTCTTGAGGAAGCCTAAGATTATCTTACTTCATTCCAGGCTCTTCTTTTTCACAGCCTCAGTAACGAGATGCTCCTTGGTCCAAGCCCTAGACTTGGACATTACTTCTTTTTTCACGACATTCCTGACCGTGTGTCCGACACTTCAAGCTCGAAAGCCATCTCCTTCGTGCATCGAACTGGATTGAAACGGCTACACTCACGGACAACCCTTATAAGACGAGGAGTTCGAGCATTTTGTTTTCCCGCTACTAGGCTTCCTTTCGGTGCGGCCGAACTTCCTCTAACGATCGATAGTGGTGTACATTTTTGAACTGGCCATTTCCAACTTAGCAGTCATATCCGTGGGCGAGAGGCCATTGGGACTGAGCTTAATAACTGTCTCATTATTTTTTCATGGCAAAATATTTGAAACCTTTTTCCAAGAAATTGGCATTGTATTGTAACCATAGCATACTAATGAAAAAAGCGTAGATTTCAATACAAATATGTTCAGAAAGTAGCAGCGAAACTACTATAAAATTTACAGTCGCATACGATACAGGGTAAAATAGATTTTCGCCCAAGTTTTTGAGCACTTTGACTGACAAAATTACTTAGAAACACATTCTGCACATGCAAAAAGGGCAGTTTTCGGAACGGGCTGGACGAATAGATAAAATATTCCGCATTTTAAGCGTCCAAGATCGATTGTCTCAAAGTTCGTTATCACGTTTAATGAGTTAGGCTGCATACTATAGTGTCAATAGAAGCGAAGGGACGAGTCCCAGGAAGCAGTCTGGAAGAAGAAGACACGAACGCCGGGACAAGAGCTATATTAACCTGCCGTTTCAGATTCCTGCCCGAATCCATCATCAGATACAAAAGCAGATAAGGGTGGTTCATGTACAAGGGGCTGCAGTATTTATAGGATGCAGTAGCCATGCTACCGCATACCTATGAATATTCACGGCTCCCCCCCCCTTCATCAGGGATCGTTGCACGTGGCGTGATGGCCGACATTCTCGTCCTACTATAATGTCGTAGGAATGGATACACCCAGTATCGGCTTCTGTCTCTCCCATTCATCGGCTGACTGTCCGAGCCTCACTGGCGTCTGCGTCAAAGGCGGGCTGGAGACGCATTTGTGACAGTAGCTGTGGGTACTCGAGGACTCGGCGCAGTCTGATAAACTCGCGTTGTGAGCCAATCCGAGTCAGTTATTGGGCCAGCGTAGGCAGTTCTGGGAGGCAGTAATTGGGAGTTCTCAGTCATATGGACTGATGTGCACCAACCAATTCCCGTTTCAAATCGCAGCTCGGTTTTGCCACGACGGCGTAGGAACGCGATCCACTTACAGTGTGTGACCTGTCGCATGAAATGTTGACTGAAATTCTGAAACGTGTTTTCGATTAGGAAGGATTACTTAGCGCGATTGTAATACTAATTATCTTGCGGCATAATCGTATAGTATTTCGGACTCGGCAGGATGTCGTCTTTTAAACACACTGCTTTTTGATCTAGTGTAAAAGACTTACTCGGCAAAAAATGACTACTTATGTAGCATGCATTTTTCTCATTGATTTTCGATGGCCTTGCAAATTCAAATATATCTTATAGAAACCATAAACAAAAATATGCTTTCTTTCAGTCAGTTAATAGAGAATCACGTCTTCTTTATATTTTTTATTCAAGGAAGGAGTATAATTAGGTTTTAAGAAAGTTTCTAATTATGAGATTTTTTGAGACCGCGCAATGTCTATTCACATAGCATCGTACCTGGACGTTTATGACAGCTCCTCGTGAAATGCACAACATAGCCCGGATCCATTGCAAAATTTTATAAATTCTATATAGTATCTTCCTAAACGCATAGAGGAATATGTGATTTTCCTTACGTAGAAAGCATGCACCTTGTAAACTGAAATCGCTAAACGCTAATGCAATGGCAGATCTGGTTCAAAATTATTCGGGAATTGGAAAACTTTTTTAAAACCTAATTATAATCCTTCCTTGAATAAAAAATATGAAGAAGACGTGATTCTCTATTAGTTGACTGAAAGAAAGCATATTTTTGTTTATGGTTTCTATAAGATATATTTGAATTTGCGAGACCATCGAAAATCAGTGAGAAAAATGCCTGCCACATATGTAGTCATTTTTTGCCGAGTAAGTTTTTTACAGGAGAGTAAAAAGCAGTGTGTTTAAAAGACGACATCCTGCCGAGTCCGAAATACTATACGATTATGCCGCAGGATAATTAGTATTACAACCGCGCCTAACTAATCCTTCCTAATAGAAAACACGTTTCAGAATTTCAGTCAACATTTCATGAGATAGGTCACTCACTGTAGGCGCACGCATTCGGCAGTGGACTTCGTCGCCTGCAGCACACGTGGGGGTGTGTGTGTGTGCGTGGGTTTTTTGTGTGTATATCTGTCGCAGTGGTGAGCATATGCCAACTAGGGCACCGTTGGCGCTCCGCGGATGCGCATCAAACAGGCGTCCGCAACTTTGCCACGCACTGCGCGCGGCACGTACAAGCGACTCGCAACGCGCGCGCAGTACTGAGTAGCGCCGACCTTATCTGCGCAAACACGCGCGCGACCGTGCGCATGATTCACCCGAGAGCGGTCAAAACTACCTGCCGCGTGTATTTCTACCATCCGTCCAGTCGTCTAGTGTCTAGCATGTGCCTGAACGAACAAGTTGAGTACGCCATTTTTTCGTTTCTTACAAGGTTGTTTACTCACTCTGGTTCTCCGAGCTGTGCCGGTCTAGGGCCGGACTCGCTCATCTTAATGTTGAAGGCCAAACCTCGGACGTCAAGTTGTCAGATTTTTATTGCTTGAATCAACAAAGCATGTTGATCTCCAAAGGAAGGACCATTAATTAAAGAATAAATCAGACTGTACTGATTCCTTATTTGGAGTTAGGTCATTTGAATTAAGTTGAAAAGCAGAATCAAAGAACGTTTGGACAACCGGAGGTAATTCCAGAATTTGTGAATGAAGAGGCAGCCTGTCTAGGAAATTTGACCGGACACGAGGATGTGAAGCCCCATACTACGGGTGGCCTCTCACTAAATTCCAGGGATATCTATCCCCATATTCTAACTTCAATCCGAACTCTGACACTAACATTCATAATCCCAAACTCTAGTTCTAACCCTAGTAGGGGTAGAGGGGCGCTCACCGATTGTTGTTACGGAACTCACTCGTCCCGTTGGGCTCCCTCTCGAACCCAACCAGCTGCCGCGTAGAGGCGCGTAATATAGGTAGTGTAATGTTACTCACAAAGACGCGGGAGACTGGAACGGTCACTTCTGGCTTGCTAGCCGTCGTCAGCCGGCCATACACAAGCCCGGAGTGGGCAACACCTGAGGCTCGATCCCGCAGCCTATTGGTTAGAAGTCGAACGCCTCTAATCACTGAGCCACGGGCTCGTTGTCCTGTCGGTCGCGATCGGTAATGCCATTCTGCCTATATTACGCGTCGCTGTGCGGCTGTTAGTTCGGCTCGAGAGAGAGCCCCAAGGTACAACGGAACGAGTGAATTCCGCGAAAACGATCGGCGAGCGCCCCTCCACCATTGCTTATATGCAAGCGAAGATGAGAGCTCCAGGAACTAGTTGATCAGAAGAAGAGGAGGCGATCGCTGGAACAAGGGCTTTATTCGTCTGACGTTTCGGATTCGCGCTTGAACCCATCATCAGAGACAGAGGCAGAAGGGGGTGACACGTGCACAGGAAGTTGCCATATTTATAGGATGCAGTCGCTATTCTACCGGACACCTATAGCAATTAACCGCGCTCCCCTTCATCAAGGATCGTTGCCCGCTGATGCGCTAATTGCTTCATGGTCGGCATGCAAATTGTTACTTGCTGAAATCTCATCACTCGTGTTGGATGCCGGAGTGATGATTGCTCGCCATCTAGCTCACCGGCTTGCGCACTCCCCGAGTGGTCAATGACTTCGGTCAGCTTATGCCTCAGCACGGAATATGGAGTGGGGATGTCGTTGCGCTTCTTGATATACTGAGGTTCCGTGCGCCATGACTCAAGCAACTCGCGGCTCATGCGGCCTCGCGAAATACTCTCAAAGGTCGAACGCGATGCACTAAGAGAACTCAAGGTCGACAAGGACATCGTCATCGTGCCCGCGGACAAGGTGCGTTCCACCGTCGTACTGGACAGAACAAACTACCTTCAGAAGGCCAAAAGCCTACTGGAGGATCGTCAGTTTTATGTCCCATCTGAAACCAACCCCGTAAAAACGCTGACACGCGAAATCAATGCGACACTGTTGGCACTGGAGAACTCGGGTGCAATAACACCGACCGACCGACGCATGGCGAGAGCCCAAGAAGCGCCAACTTCCTGTGCACGTGTCACCCTTTTCTCCCACTGCCTCTGATGATGGGTTCAAGTGTAAATCCGAAACGTCAGACGAATAAAGCCCTTGTTCCAGCGATCGCTTCTTCTTCTTCTTCTTCTTCTTCTTCTGATCAACTATTTATATACCCGATCGCAATCCACAGGACGACGAGTCCGTGGCTCAGTGGTTGGAGGCGTTGGACTTCTAACCAACAGGTCGCGGGATCGAGCCCCAGGTGTTCCACACCTTGAGATTCGGTATGACTGGCGGACGACAACTAATAAGCTAGAAATGGCCATTCTGGTCTCCCTTGTCTTTGTTGGTAATAACATACTGCCCATATCATGCGTCGCTGTGCGGCTGCTGGTTGGGCTTGAAAGAGAGCCTGTAAGGCACAACAGAACGAGCGAGTTCCGTAAAAACGATCGATGAGCTGCACAGTAGGCAGTGTAAGTAATTGAGTGCGATAATTGTAGGAGAGGGACAGTCAGCTACGCGGAGCGTCTGTCAGCAGTTTTATGGTTATTCCCTGCAGATCGTTGCGGCATTTATGAATGTGCACACCAATTTCTAGAGATTTGGTGAGTTTTTTTCCTTGTGTGCATCACCCGTCGGGCTGTTGAGTGGTCATTTGTACATCCGGTTTGTCTACATGCGAGATTACAGTGCGTGACCGATCTCATGAAATGTTGGCCGAAATTCTGGAATGTGTTTTCTATTAGAAAGGATTACTTAGGTGGTGCTGTAATATTGATTAACTTGCATCATAATCCTATAGCATTTCGGACTCATGAGGATGTCGACTTTTGGATGCATTTATTTTTTGACCTCCTGCAGAAACCACACTCGGTAAAAATGACTGCTTAAGTAGCATGCATATTTCACATTGATTTTCGGTGTCCATATAAATTCTGACATGTTTTGTAGAAAACATGCACACAAATATGCTTTCTTTCAGTCCTTTGGAAGAAAATCACATTGTCTTCATATGTCATGCCTGAAGAAAGTGTATATTTAGGTTTTAAAAAAGTTTCTAATTATGAGATTTTTAAGACCGTGCGATGTCCACGCATGCAAGACCGCAAATGTCCAGTTATTAATGTTCGTCGTAAAGTATACAGCATAACCCGCATCCATAGCGAAATTTCATGAACTCTATGTGGTATATTCTTAAAGGCATAGAGGAATATATGATTTTCCTTACTCGAAGGCGTGCACCTTGTAGACTGAAATTACTAAACGCTGATGCAATAGCAGATCAGACTCGGAATCAATCGGGAATTGGGAGGCTTTTTTAAAACCCAAATATATACTTTCTCCGGGTATAAAATATGAAGGCAATGTTATTTTCTACCAAAAGAGTAAAAGAAAGCATATTTTTGTACATGTTGTCCATAAAATGTACTTGAATTTATAAGACCACCAAAAATCAGCGTGAAAAATGCATGCTACTTAAGTGGTCATTTGTTGCCATGTGTGGTTTCTGTGGGGTGTTAAAAATAAGTGCATTCAAAAACTGACATCCTGTTGAGTCCGAAATGCTATAGGATTATGCTGCATGCTTATCAGTATTAAAGCTCCACCTAAGTAATCCTTCCTAATCGGGAACGCATTCCAGAATTTCGGCCAACATTTCATGAGATCGGTCACGCACTCTACACATGACTGGACAGACCACTGTTACAAGTGCCATTCGAGGGCGAGGGGTCCTTCCACGCGGCCGTCTGTCTCGAGGGGTACTGTGGCAGCGTTCCCATTCCTGGTGATCGATTGTCACTTTCTGGTTGGCCTCAACGCTTTTACTCACATACGCGTGCACATCCGCGTTGTGCAGCATTTTTGCGGGTGGCATAGATGGTGAGAAAATAGTTTCCTAACTGATCCACCCTACACCAACCGATCAAAAAGCAAGGACGGTCACGCTTGGGACCAACGTTCTCGTGTGAGGGCAAGTTCGCTACCTCGTCTCTAAGCTACTTATACGCTCTTTTTTCAAGGCAACCTTTGTCCTATCTGATCTGTCACCGAGACAAACGTTTTGCGGAATTCGCTCATCACAGGCGACAAAAATGCACACAGTAATTTCGAGGGGGGCTGGGTGCAATCCTGAGATGCGCCGTTACCTGAAGCTGGGGTATTATTTACTGATGAGAGAGAACGGGCTGGAAGTGGCTGATCCAGTAGTGATTGTTTGCCAGACAGCCTGGATGAACTTCAAATCCAAAGCTACTTGACGAAACGGAAATGCCCACTGGTGCCCAATAATCAGAACGGTGTGGTGAGCGGCATTCTCATATGACGTTGAGTATTGCAGATCAAATCGGCAGAAGTTAAGCCCACTGACCTGAATCGAAATGATTAATGACACCACATGGATTGGGTTCGAACCTCGGGTGTGCCGGCACCTGATGTCAGGGTTGTCCGTAACTGCCGACGATCAGTGACCCTTGAGTTGTCGCAAATCGTCGTTGACAACGCTTCTCGACACCTAAAGGTGTGTATGCCATCGATAGACGAGTGATCCTAATCCTCCAGGGCAGGTAAGTCGCAGATGGTTATCAACAAGCAGCCAAAACTCCGGTTGTCTGATTCACTGGCGACCGTGTCGAAGTAGAATGAGTCCACGACGAGAAATTTCCCGAACTCGAAAGTAAAGAAGATGAAGTTACTAGGACAATCTCTACTGCAGCAGGGAGAGTCTAAGCAGCGGGATCAGTTGTCAGGTTCGGCTGAGAACCACGAGGTAAACTTGCGCCTGAGTCATGTCCGGTCCCGGCCAATCACCGAACACCAAAATATCGATCGACTCCGCGGTGTCCACAAGTCGAGGGCTGAGTCATACTCAGGAAAAGCATTCAACCGGCAGGAGGGGTTCGGCCGCTGTAGTCGCCATGTCGATTAGGCCGCCAAAAATGGCATATCGATCAGCTTATAGGCGGGGTTGGGTAAAAGTTGGGGCTCCAACGTTAGCAACTGGCAGACACTTTAACTCTGCGACTAGTGGGAACAGGGAAGTCCTCACAGACTATTACGAAGCATTTTAGGAAATCCAGTTTTCCGGCCATTTGGACAACTCAACCATTTTATGGGGCTTCGTGCATGAGAATTTTGTGGTACTTTCCCCTACTGCTGACTGGAAGGGCATTCTCACGAAAAACATACGATGCAATCAAAAATATGAGATTCACCGCCTTCGGATTCGTGCCAGGAAGCTTAATTAATGACTCTATATGCTCTCCGTTGTGTGGAGAAGGTAAAACTGACTGTTATCTTCGGGCAGGTGGTAAAATAAGTCGTGACAGATTTGCCGGTGTTAATACGATCAGTAATGACATTGGATTGCTAGCAAGATGAGCTTCACTTTGGTCGGGCGTGATTCCGGTCTGGGAGGACAGGAAGGTTGGACTGGGCGATGCGTCGATCCGGCTGGTCTTCCCTACAGGCACATCAGATGTGCTAACTCATGAAATTTTGACCGGAAATCTGAAATACGTTCTCAAATAGAAAAGACTACCTAAGTAGGGCTGTAAGATTAATCACCGTGCAGCAAAACCCCATGATAATTCAGTTATATCAAGATGCCGACCTTTAAACGAACTTCTTTCCAACCGCCTCGATGCCCTTATAGATTCAAATACACTTAATGGAAGACATGCATTAAAATATTCTTTTTCTACTCATATGATAGAACATAACGTCTCCTTTAAATTTTATACATGAAGGAAAGGTATAATTCGGTTTAAAAAGTTTCTAATCATGAGATTTTTTAAAACCGCGAAATGCCCGGTTATAAAACCTCATGTTTCTGCATTTGCTAATGTTGCCTTAGGATTTTATAAAATGGCTCAAATCCACTGCTAAATTTTTTGAACCCCATATGGTGTCCGCTTAATACCGTAGAGAAATGAGTGATTTTTCGTACTGGGAAAATATATAGCTTGCAGTTACGGAACTCTCAATGTAGGTGTAAAGGCAGGCCGGACTCGAAATTATTCGGGAGTTCGGAAAGTTTTTACAAACCGAATTATACCCTTCCTTCAAGTGTAAAATTTAAAGAAGCTGTTATTTTCTATCAAATGAGTAAAAGAGTGAGTATTTTTATGCATGTTTTCCATTAAGTATATTTGAATTTATAAGGACATCGAGAGTCAATGAGAAAATTGCATGCTACTTAAGTAGTCATTTTTACAGATGGTAGCTGGAAAGAAGTTCTTTTAAGGGCTGGCATCCTGAAGAAACTGAATTATCTCGGTATTATGCTGCAAGATGATTAATTTCAAAACTTTACTTACGTAATCTTTTCGGGTCGAAAGAGCATTTCAGAATTTCGGTTAAAATTTCCTGAGTTAGCACATCTACTGTACTGCCGTGTTATGGTGGCCGACAACGCAACGGTTTCCAAATCACAATTCAGAGAAGCCAGCTAGTGAATAAGCCTTACTGAAGCGAAAGCGCGTACAGGCAGCTCACCTATTTGATACTGACTGATACGCATGACGCATACACTCACGCCCACGCACACGGACACAGCGGTGACCACACTTCCGGGGCTCACCGAGTTTCTGCACTGATTGGTGCCAGTGTCAGCCACCTTCTCCTCCTCCAAAACGGTGGACTTGGAACATGATTGTTGTGGGGTTCAGGGGTACATCTCACTATCCCAGTCGCCAGACCTGAACGGGAATACAAGCCAGAGGGGGACAGAGGGGGCCAATTATGGTTCATCAGAAGAGCACAGGACAAAACTAGCGGAAACTCTGCTGTAGTCTGTCTGCGGCATCCTGCGAAAGGACGGGGCCCCAGCCTTGTCGTGTCTCTCTACCCGAGTGTTTAAAATAAGCGCCAGAATCCCGTCGCTCCGCGCACTCCTTTGCTGTGCTGTGTCCTCGTTAGTAATTGATTGTTTTGCTGATAGAAGCGAACAGGCGAGTTCCAGGTAGCAGTTCAGAAGACGAAGATGAGATCACTGGAACAAGAAATTTATTGGCCTGACGTTTCGAATTCTCACTCGAATCCATCATCAGAGACAGTCGCAGATA